CTCGAGCGATGGGGGGAGGCCGTGCTGCGGTACGGGTTGAGGAAAGACGACGATGGGAACCGCGAGCGTCCCTCGGTCAGCGTGAGGACGTCGGCCCTTGAGAGCGCGCTGCCCGCTGAGCTCGAAGAACACGTTCCGTTCAACCAGAACCGCCTGGACGCGCACGAACTGCTGAGGCGTGAGATCGCGCCCCACCTCGAGGCTCGCACGGGCGCCTGGAATCGGGGCCCGCACGATGTCCTGCCAGGCGAAGTTGGCGAAGGCCATTCGGAGGAGCTCTGGTTGTTCCCTCCAAAGATGCGCTGCCGCACCACAGACAGGAAACAGCACGAACGGGGGATGGCGCTCGAAGCTTCGGCTGCGCGTCACTCGCCACAGAACTACTGCGGCTGCGGTCAGCTGGGCGCGGCTGGATGGTGAAGCGTAGATACGTCCTGGTAAATGATGCGGCATGCCTTGCGACCGCCGTCGCGACGCAGCTCGGCCCCATGCGTTTCGAGTGCAACCTTAAAACCTACATGTGGGGCCAGCGTAGCCTTTTCTACTCCCCGATGACATCCCCCTGCCTCCCTCGACTGCCATCGCGCGTTTCAACCAAGACGCTGTGGTTGGCACCGTGCGGTATTATCTTTGCCTCTCCTCTCCCTGTTCCTCTCCCTCGCCCCCCCCCGATTCCGTCGATGCATGGCTGGCGCCTTCCAGCCGACACGGCGTCTTGAAGGCCACCTTGGGCGCCTTGGAGGCCTATTCGGCCGTCTTGGGACCCTTCGAAGGCCGTCTTGAGAGCCTCTTGGGCCGTCTTGGGGCTATCTTGAATTTTTTTTGACAAATTGTGGGGTAATCGTGGGGGCCTCTTGGGCCGTCTTCCGTCGGACGGCCGTTTTGGAACAAATGCTATCGTCCTTCAAACACACACGAGAGATCAATGATTTTGACTTTTTCGGGCCTTCCTGGGCGACCTCTTGGAGGCCGTCTGGGCCGTTTTAGGGGCCTCTTGGGCGCTTCTTGGACCGTCTTGGGCTCTCTTGGGCCACCTTGGCGGTCTTGAAATGATTCGGGCACCGTCTTGGAGGCCATCTTGGCGTTATCTTGGGCTTTCTTGGGCCATCTTGGCTGTCTTGGAGGGATCTCGGATGCCATCTTACGTCATCTTGGCCGTCTTGGGGGCGATTTGACCAATGAGAGGTGGATGCTGTGCAGTTCTCTGGGTGTACGGCGGTTTGGACCGAAGCCCCTGGGGGATTTCTTTGGAAAAGAACCCGAACCTCCCCGACATCTGGCACGCTGTGCACCCGTGTGGCAAGACCAGAAAGGGGCGACAGATGGAAGACGCCTACGGCGAATCACCGCCGCCCCTGTTTTTTTGGAAGCGCCCATGCGGCCAAATTTGGGCCGGAGTCATGCCAAAGTATTGGACAATGTGTTCCCCCAACCGTTGTGGAATCCTTCGGGGGAGCATTGGGGAGAGGAAGGAACAGGAGGAGGAGAGGACGGAGAAGGCGGAAGAAAAAGAAGAGGAGGCCTCTCGAGGCCCTCTTGGGGCTCTTGGGGGCTTCCAATGAGCATTCGGGGGAGTTCTGAGGGCCATCTTGGGGGCCCCCCATCTCGGCGGGTGCGTTCGCATGCCGACGGCCGTGGTCGCCCAGGTGGGGGCTCCCATGTTTTGTGGAGCGCGTGATGAGTGCCGCAGCGAGCTCTCCGCGGCACGCGAGCGCACCCGTCCGGGCCGTGGCTGGAGCGCCTTCTTGGGGCGTGGTCCGTGCGAAGGGGGTCTGCCGCCGTGGCTGGATGCCTATCAATCGGCGGCGGGCGCGGGGGGGAAATGAGAAGGGGCGGGACTTCCGAGGCTTCTGAGAAGTTTCTGGACTTCTGAGAGGGCTTCTCAGAAGTTCTGTCTGTATTCGAAATAGGCCAAGGAAACGTCTCAGAAGCCCCCCGGACTTCTAAGAAGTCCCGCGGCCTTCTGAGAAGGCCTTCTCCTTCTCATTTCCCCCCTGGGCTCGTCGCCTATATCAAGGAGCCCGGTCGCGGGCGCATGCCGTCGATTGGCTTTCCGGCTTCGGCGAGGACAGGCAGAGCCATTCAAGGCACAGCAGGGTCTTTCCAAACCACGGGAGCTGCTCCCGAGGAACGGGGAAGTCGGCCTCCCGCTCTCGGCGGGCGCTGGCCGGCTGACTAATGATTCGACGCGGGGATCTTCAGATGTGTATCCCATATTCCTGCCACGTCTCGCTGGGGAACTCAGTCCGTGCGTATTTGGGTGTGCGAGCGAGTTCGTGCGCTGGCTGCGCGAGCTGGTAGCGCGCGGTAGCCGAGGAGAAAGTCAGGGGAGCAGGAGGGAGGGAGGAGGCAATAAGAAAGGGAACAGGAAAAGAGGGAAGGAGGGGGGAGGGGGGACGGGGAGAAGAAAGGAAGAAGGCAGCTTCCGGCCTGAGACAAGCGCCTTTGTTGAGACGTCCCCGCAACCTGCTTTGACGAGGCAAGGCTGGAGGACCGAAACACGAAAACCGCCTGAGACATCCCCATAATCTGGGCGCGAAGACTCGGGTGTCCCCACCACTGGCGGCTCCCTTTCGGGGTGCCCAACTGCCACGCGGTGAGCACTGAATAACGAAAAGAGAGAAGCCTGGGGGTAGAGGCGAAACAGACACATTGGCTGAGAGCCCCCACAATTTGGAAACTATTTTAGAGTGCCCCGCACCCGGACGGCGTTCCCAGTTGGGCTGCCCAAGTGCCACGTTTGCCCGATCGCGGTGAGCATTGGACCACGAACGGAGAGAAGCCTGCGAGGGGGCCGAAACACGCAAACCGCATGAGAAACCTCCACAATCTGAACACTACTTCCAGCGTGTCCCCACCCCTGGCGGCTCCCCATGGGGGGGCCCAACGGCCACGCCTGCTCTATGGTGGCGAGCATTGGACCACGAAGCGAGGAAAGCCTGAAGGGCCTAAACCAGGAAACCGCCTTAGACATCTGCACAATGTGGACGCGACTTTTTGAGTGTCACCACCCCTGGCGGATCCCCTTCGGGGTGCCCAAACGCCACGCTTGCTGTATCGCGGTGAGCATTGGACCATTAAACGAGAGAAGCCTGGGGTGCCGAATCAAGCAAGCCGCCCCAGACATGCCCACAATGTGGACGCGAGTCGTGGAGTGCCCCCCATGGCGGCCCCCCCTTCGGGTGCCCAAGTGCCACGCCTACTATATCTTGGCGACCACCTGTGAGTGAATATGTGTGTGAGTGAATCAGTAAGTGATCTGAGTGTTAGTGAGTTGAGTGTGAGTGAGTCCGGGTATGAGTGAGTCTGAGTGCCAGTGAGTTTGAGTACGAGTGTGTCTGAGTCGGAGGTTGGGGGGTGAGTTCGCAGTAGACCGGAGACCCCCAACTGGGAAATCGTTTCGTTTCGTTCGTGTTGTGCGTGCGGGCGAGGCGAAGCTGCGTAGGCGCGCGAGAGAGATGAACCCGCCGTTGCTAGGGCGAAGTCAAGACAAATGATTATCATCCGCCCGCCCGTCCGGCGGTGGCTCGCGGTGTCCCGCGGTGTCCTGTGGGAATGAACCCGCCGTTGCTAGGGCGAAGTCAAGACAAATGATTCTCCTCCGCCCGCCCGTCCGGCGGTGGCTCGCGGTGTCCCGCGGTGACCTGCGGTGTCCCGTGATGTCCGCCGTTGCTAGTGCGAAGTCAAGACAAATGATTATCCCCCCCCGCCCGTCCGGCGGTGGCTCGCGGTGTCCCGCGGTGTCCCGTGGTGTCCCGTGGTGTCCCGTGGTGTCCCGTGGTGTCCGCCGTTGCTAGGGCGAAGTCAATACACATGCTTCTCCCCCGCCCACCCGTCCGTCCGTCCGTCTGTCCGTCTGGCGGTGGCTCGCGGTGTCCCGCGGTGTCCCGTGGTGTCCCGTGGTGTCCCGAGGTGTCCCGTGGTGTCCCGTTGTGTCCTATGGTGTCCCATTGAGTCAGATCGATAGTGAGATCTATAGTGAGACCGATAGTGAGATCGAGAGGTGTCCCGCGGTGTCCCGTGTTGTCCCGCCGTGTCCCGTGTTGTCCCGTTGAGTGAGATCGATAGTGAGATCGACAAGTGTCCCGTGGTGTCCCGTGGTGTCCCGTGGTGTCCCGTTGAGTGAGATCGATAGTGAGATTGATTGAGTCGGATGTTAGTTCCCCCTCTCTCTCCCCCCCACAACCTCCTTATCACCCGAAGGGTGGTCGTATAGGTACGTGGGTCTGAGTAGGTGTGAGTCTGAGTGTGAGTGAGTTTGAGTGTGAGTGACTATGAGTGTGAGTGAGTCTAAGTATGAGTATGATGCCTGAATATGAGAGAGTCTGAGTGCGAGTGAACATGAGTACAAGTGAGTCTGTGGGTGAGAGAGTCTGAGTGTGAGGTAGTCTGAGTGTGAGATAGTCTTAGTCTGAGTGAGTCTCAGTGTGAGTGAGTCTGAATGTGACTGCGTGCCAGTGTTAGCGCGTCAGGGTTTTGGCGAGTCTGAGTCTGGGTGTGCCCGAATGGGACACGTAATTCTGAGTGAACAGGTGTTGACGAGTCTGTCTCAGCGTGAGTGAGTGCTTCTGAGTGCGGAAGAGGAGGATATGAGTGCACGAGGTCCGGAGGCGTCCGAGCAATAACAATAAGCCCATCTCAGGAAACATGGGGAACAAGTCAGCGCCAGCGTGCCCAGGGGATCGTGAACCTGGGGGCGCCGCAGGATGGACTGCGACGACCCGGACGTGTTGCGCCCCAGGTGTCTCACCGACTGCTCAGGTCCCGATCGTACGCGTCCGCAATGCGGCCCAGAGCTCAGAGGAGGGAAAGGTACCCATACCTCTACCCCTCGCCCGTTTTCCCCTTTTTGGGCCTCCTGGGCGGCTCTCATCGCCACCGCTGGATTCGCCTCGAAATCCTGGTCAGAACGCACCCCAGGAGAGGTCCGGGGAGTAGCGGCATCGGTACCTCTTGGTTTCCCCGAGAGCGTCCCCCCGATACGGACCAGAGGGCTCCTGCAAGCGCGCTGGCTCGGGCCCGCGCCCCACGCAGCTTCCCCGAGGGCCAGCCTCTCGGGGCGTCGTGCTCGCGGACCGGCCCCAGACATGCGACGCGGCGTCCTGATCTTTTCAGAACGGCCTTCCCGGAAGTCCCGACCCTTTCCTTGGGGCCGGTGTTTCGTCCCGAGTCGTTCTGTCACGCTCCCGGGAGCCGGCGAGGGCCCCCCAAGGCCGAAAATAGCGAAAAGCCTCCCGTCCTGCTTTTTCACGACGCGAGCACGTCTGGGACGCCAAGCCGCGGCCACGGGGGGGGGGCGCACGCCGCGCCGGGATGGCCCTCAGCCCTGTGCGCATTCGCGCGCCCTGGCTGCAGTTGGAGCGCGGCGAGGGAGGGGCGCTGCAGAGGTCCCTGTGCGCCGTGCCGGCGGCTCCCAGCGTGGTGGAAGCCCCGGCGCGCCTCGGGAGGAGCACGCTGCGGTGCCTGCTCTGGAGGGGGCTCGCGGCGCTGTGTACGGTCGCGGCGCTCAGCCTGCTCTTGTCCAGGGCCGTAGGCCGCCAGGGGGGGGACGGAGGCGAGGAGTTCGAGCTGCTGTTCGAGGGGGAGGTGCCCAATGAGGACTTCGTCATACACGCCGGCTCCGTGTGCTTCGGCGTCTCGGAGTCGGAGGCCGATCTCGCGGGCTACCTCAGGTTGGAGGTGGAGTCCGACAAGGACCTGCGCGCCATCCGTGGCGGCCGCGAGCAGTGCACGGAGTGGATGGTAGAGGACAGCCTGCTGCTGCCAGAGGAGAGTGATCCTCGTGGCTTGGCCTTCCTCTGGCCGAACTTGAGCGTCCCCCTTCACGGCGATCTTGGACCTGGCCTGGTGGAGTTCCAGGAGGAGCCTGTCGGTTTCGCCTCTTGGGGTGGCACGATCTGTGGGTTTGAAGAATACCAGCTGGGGAACGAGCCCCAGTTCCGGGCCACATTCGACGATACGGCTCTGCGCTCCCAGGGACGGCTGATCTACGTACCGAGCCGGGGCTTTCTTCCCGTCCTGCTGGACGGGAGGAAGCAGGTGCTGGTCCAGAAGCGTCCTTATTTCGTGCCATTCCAAGGGGTTGGCCACGGCCTGCGGTACCAGCCCTCAGTCTTCAGCCGCGGAGAGGGTCTTGGCGAGCTGGTCCTCCCAGGCTCAGTGGTGATGGGCTTCGCCTGCCTTGATAGCGAGTTCGTGTGGGCTCCCGAGGGCGGATACCTCCCCCTGAGCATCCACGGGGCTCCTGCGCTGATTCCCATGGCTGGCACCCGAGACGACCTGCCGCAAGTTCGCGGCAGTCTGTCGTGGATGCTCTTCGACGACCAGGAGGTACACTGGGGATCTCTGCAGAACCGCTTCAACGAGTCGACCTTCGACGAAAAGGCACGCGCGTCGAGCTCGATATTCACCTTCCCTGCGCCGCCGTGGAACGCCAACGTCAACCAGCACACTCCCAAGATTAGAGAAAAGTTTGCGCGTCACTGGCACATTGTCCTCGCCGGCACCAGATTGCGGCAAGACCAGCCCCGCTCCCGCTACAGAGTGTCGGCGAGAAAGCACCTCAGCTCGTTCGGCTCGAATAGTTATCACCCAGAGAAGTGCCCCAGAGCGTCACCGCTGGCATGGCTTCGGCGAGTGGGCCGGCAGGGGTACGACAGCTTTATTGCCGACTAGTCCCTCGCTGCAATCTAAGGCATCCCCCGCCGTCTGGATCTTCACTCGCAGGTGGCGCTCGCCAGCAGGCGTTCAAGGAAATGTATCGCAACCAGGCCCATGTGTACCATCGTCAACACCCTGTGGTCCACTGCACTGCCGACGAAGCGGTTCGGACATTCAACTTTTAATTTTCTGCCGTTCAACTTTTAATTGTCTGCCCAGAGTGCCAATGCATGGTTCCTGGATCGGCTCATCTGGGCGGCCAGAGAAGTTTCACGTCACTGGGTGGAGTCTGGTCTACGGCAAGACCAGGTCTTTCAATCCCTTCGCTTTCTCGTCTGCCGCCCCAGGACGGAGGAAATTCAGCACCCCTCCCCCACGCCAACAAGAACAAGTTCATCTATCAGCAGGGCTAAGAGGATGAGGAGCAGCCACGGTGTCTTGGGTCGGTTTGGTAAAGCGAGTGTTGCCGATGGGCCATCGCATCGCGTTGCGCGCGCGAGGGGCTTCCCGCATCCTCTGCCACAAGCTGCGAGCCTGCTCGGAAGCCCCGCCCGCCGTGCCGATGCTCCCGCACCCAGGCTGTGCCGCTGCGGCGCAGCGGTGACACGCTGCTCGCGCTGCTCGCGCGCTGCACACAGGCTGCGGCGCTGCTCGCGCGCTGCACGGCACGCGCGTGGGACACCGCAGCCTCTTGGCCCAGCAGAGGACCCAGAGTCCGAAACGCGTCACCAACTAAAGGTGGTTGAGATCGGTAGTGCACCACACCGCGGGGGAAGCGCCCTGTCCCCAGGGCGTTCCGCGCCGTGCCGCGGGTTCGGGTGCAACTCATGAGAGGTCAAAGGCCTATCCGGCGCAGCCGCCGCCCTGTGTGGGCCTCATCCTCCCCAATCTTTCCGACGAAGACCTCCCCGTACAGTCCATCCGCACAGTAAGGATTGGCAGCCACCTTCCCAAGGATACCCTTGCATCCTTGCCTCCTCCGCCCATCATTGGCCACTTCCACTGCCCGCGCTCCGCTTGAAAAGCTTCGACCTGGACGTCCAAGGCCCTTTGTATCTTTATCGCGCATCCTTCTGATACGGGCCGGCTGCAGTTGCCTCCTGACGCGGGGTCCCGCGTTCCTGCCGCGCACGCTGCAGCGAGGGAGGTGGTGTGCGCCGCCCGTGGGCTGCCTTCTCGGAGAGAGAGAGAGAGAGAGAGAGAGAGAGAGAGAACAACAACAAAAAGAGAGAGAGAGAGAGAGAGAGAAAGAGAGAGAGAGCGGCGCGCTCAGGCTCCCCTCCTCGTCCTCCTCTTCCTCCCCTTCCTCCTCCTCCTCCTCCTCCCTCCTCCCTCCTCCCTCCTCCCTCCCCCTCCTCCTCCTCCTCCTCCTCCTCCTCCTCCTCCTCCTCCTCCTCCTCCTCCTCCTCCTCCTCCCCCCTCCCCCCTTCGCTCCTCCTCCTCCTCTCCTCCTCTCCTCCTCCTCCTCCCTCCTCCTCCTCCTCCTTCCTCCTCCGCCTTCTCCTCCTGCCTCCTCCTGCGCACCAATCCGCCCTCCTCCCCTCTCTCTCCCCTCCCTCCTACCTCCTCCTCCCTCTTCTCCTCCTTCTCCTCCTCCATCCTCCTCCGCCTCTCTGCTTCCTCCCTCCCGCTCCTCCCTGCCTTCTCCTCCCTCCTCCCTCCTCCCTCCTCCCTCCTCCCTCCTCCCTTCTCCCTCCTCCTTCCTCCTTCTCCTCCACCCCTTAGCCGTCCTGCGGCGGCCGCTCTCCCTCTCTCTCTCGCACCGCTCTCCGGGCAGACAGAGGCGGGCATCGATTGCCTACCATTGGCATCGCTCGGACGTGTGCATTTTTCCAGGGGCACGATGAATGGCACAAACATGAAGACTCGAAGGTCCGCGCGGATTTCTCGGATCCGCGCTGGAGCCCCTTAGCGGCGCCTCCGGCGCTGCCCGTGGCGCGCTCCACCAGTCCGCGCGCCAGGGAGGGGGGTCCAGCGCCGATCCGAGAAATCCGCGGGGGCCCCCAAACGGGGTGGTGACCACACCGTTTGGGGAGTCGGCGGGGATTCGGGGCCACCGCCCAGTTGTGGGACTTGGGGTCGTTCTCCGAGGAGGTCTCGGGCGACTGGGGCCTCTCCAGGGTCCCATAGCTGTGTGGTGGCGGACCGTGCGGTGAGGTCTCTGCGGGTTTCGAGGTTCCCGCTGGGTCTGTCATCACACGGTTGTGGGACCCCCAACTTGGCATCGGCTGGAAGTGTACATTTTTCCTCGGCGAGGGCCGTCGAGCTCGGCAGCAAGCCATGGGGCCTTGTATACTCTCTTGATTCTGTCTTTGGCGTTGACAAGCGTCGACTAGCGTCTGGGAGTGGATGAGACAGCGCCGATTTAGCGTCGGCTAGCGTCGATTTCGCGCCGATTTCGCGTCGATTAGCGTCGGTTTAGCGTCGGTTTAGCGTCGATTCGCAAGAGCTGACAAGATGGTATGTGAGGCTCCCATGAGTTGCCACCGAAATCGAGGAGCATCTTGGACCATCGTGCGAGCTCGGGGAAACGTACGACTCGAGTACGCCAGAACTCGGGTTTGCCGACGCTTTTTGACGAGCGCGTCGTCCTGGATTTTGACGGTTCAGTTTTCGTGGATGTTTGCAGCGGGAGTTCGCGTCAAATTTCAGATTGGGTCTCGTCTTTCTCTTGACGGCATCGCCAGGCCAACCCGAGTCCCCCAAACCCGAGTCTTGCGTCTCGCCGATCTCAGCAGGTGCGGGCCTTGTCTATAGATGTAAAGCCGACACTTCCTCAGAAGCAGCCCCCTCCCAAGAAGCTTTCCCCCCTCCCCAATGACCCCCGTCTGCGCGCCGCCAAGATCAATCGAGGAGGCTCGGTCCCCGCGAGATTCCAGACATCGGTCTCCCATCCAGCTTCGGCACCGCGCTCATCCGCCGCCGTGATCGTCGCAGCGGCGCTGCACGGCGCACTCGCCCACCGCCCTTCGCCTCCCTCCTCGCCCGAGCCGCCCGAGCGAGGAGGCGGGGAGGTACAGCAGGGGTACGGAGGACCGAGTTGCTTGGTCCTCATGCTCGTGCCTGCCGTCTGTCCCGCCTCCGCCAGCGAGATGTCCAGGAGACCAGTGGATCATCCGGTCCTGGACCTGGCCACGGATCTTCCCGTCCGTACGCGCTCCGCCCGTCTCTCTTCTCTTGCCGTTCCGCCTGCTCCTCCTCCTCTGCCCGTGGGAGGGGAGGACGACAGCGAGGAGGACAGTCCTTCCAGTGAGGAGGCGAGGGCGAAGCACAAGAAGGCGAAGCGCAAGTAGTGCGCGCAGAGAAAAGGTGTCATCCAATCCGCCGTCGGCCTTCTCGTCCTCATCCTCCTCTCCGCTTTCTGCTCCTTGTCTTCCTCTTCCTCCCACCCACTGCTTATTCTGCGCCCTGTTGCTGCTGCTCCTCCTCCTCCTCCTCCTCCACAGTCCACCGCAGCTCCTCCTCCTCCTCCTCCTCCTCCTCCTCCTCCTCCTCCTCCTCCTCCTCCTCCTCCTCCTCCTCCTCGTCCTCCTCCTCCCCTCCTTCACTTCTCGGCCTCCTTTTACTCGTCCTGCTCCTCCTCGTCCCCCAGATGCTTGTCGTTCTCCGCCTTCCTAATTCTACCCAGTCTACTCCTTATGACCATGATGCTGACGTACCCCAACGTGCCAACCTCACGCTCCCACAGTGTTGGATAGCCTCACTCACCACTTCTCGCTATCTTGGTTTCCCTCCCGTTCGACTTACACTATTACGCACTCTCTCTCTCTCTCTCTCTCTCTCTCTCTCTCTCTTTCTCTTATTATTAATCGCTTCGCTCATTCCGCCGGCCCATACAGTCTCATGTCTGCCGTTTGCCCGAGGACCTGGTGTCAATGCGGCGCTTTGGGGGTTCCTGGGGCCGCTTGGGGGACTCCTGGGGCGCTCGGGGGGGCATTTGTGGGGCCTCCTGGGGCCGCTTGGGGGACTCTTGGGGGCCTCCTGAGGGCCTCGTGGGGGCCTCTTGGGGCCTCTTAGGGGCCTCTTGGGGCCTCGTAGGGGCTTCTTAGGGCCGAGGGCTCGAAATGTTGTTTCGTGTTCCCTCTCTGGGGCCCCTTTGGGGGCGTTCTTGGGGCCCTCTTGGACCGTCTTGGAGGCTTCTTGGGCCGTCTTCGAGCCCTCTTGGGCCATCTTGGGGCCCTCTTGGGGGCCTCTTGGGCCCTCTTGGGGCGATCTTGGGGGCCTCTTGGGCCGTCTTGGGGCGGCGGGGAGCCGAAAAGGTGGAATCTCCAAAATCTTTCAAAATCCTAAGGAAAAGCTATGAATTTTGCTTCATCTATGAATTTTGCTTCTTGGGGCCCTTTTGGGAGTGCTCTTGGAGGCCTCTTGGGGCGTCTGGGGGCCATCTTGGGCGTCTTGGAGCGATCATGTGGCATCTCGGAACCCTTGTGTACCATCTTGGGAGCCTCTTGGGGGCATCTGGACCCGTCTTGAGGCTGGGGGAGTCTCCCGGGGATCGCTCGGGGGTCGGTCGGGGATCGCCCGGGGTACTTTTCGTCCGGGGACCCCCAGGGGCCGCCCCGCGCGCGCGAATTAGAGATATTGTTAACCAGTTACCGGAGACCTTAGCACGCCTATGGCCCGTTGGGCCGGCGAATTTCTTATATTTTGCATTGTGCCTAATAGTTCCACCCTGTCATTCTTCCACCCAGGTATGCCCAGATCCCACCGCTCTTCAGTCTTTCACTTTGGCAGAGATGAGTTCGCACAATTGACTGCCGTTGTACCCTCCCTCGTATTCAAGAGGGTTGCGCCAGTCCGCCGACCCCAACAAGAGAGGCGACGCCGAGGGTGCCCGTGAGGTTCACCTGAGAGCTTGAGTGATGTCGTTGGGCGCGGGTCCGAAGGCCGTCCTGGGTCGTGGAAAAGTGCCCTCCGTGAGAGGCCTGTGTGGGCTCTATCGGGAGGCCCGTTGGAGACATTGATTGGGCCTCTGCAGGCCTCCTGGAGGTCTCCTGGGGATGCTTTTTGGGTGCTGTTGGGGTCCTCTGAGGACCTCTTGGGGGCCTTGTGGGAGCCCGTTGGGAGTCGGAGGGGGGGGGGGGGGGCGGGGCAACTGCGGGGAGAGGCTCCCGAGGCCCACTCGCTTTTGGGGGCTCTTTGGGGGGCCCCATTGGGGCCCTCTTGGGAACCCCTTGGCACGCTTTGGGTGGCCTTCCGGGCCATCTTGGTGGTCTCTTGGGCCGTCTTGGGGCTCTTTCGGAGGCTCTCGGGGCCGCCTGAATTTTATGCTGGGCGCTCTGGGGCCGTGTCGGGCGCTGTGGATCCCGCAGAGCGGAGACCGCTGGCACCCATCGGACTCTCGATGGATTTCTCCTCTGCGGGCCCCCCTCGGCGGTTCTCTGGGAGCAGTCCTGGGCTGTCTTGGGGGCCTCGTGTGCCGTTGTGGAGCTATCTTGGGCCGTCGTGGGGCTCTCCTGGACCGCGTCGAGGCTCTCTTGGAGGGTCTCGTCGCTCTTCCGTTCCCCTGCCCCCACCCTTATCCAATGTGGTTTGGGATTCCTGGGGGTCACCTCGCACGCCTCGTCACCCCGGGCAACGGGGGGTCGGTGGACACGTGGCTGCCACAGTCGTGTCAGGATTGCCACCACCCCCGGGGATCGCCAGATTCGACTTGCACCCCGACGAGGGTCATCGACCAGAGGCCCTGGTGCCCACAACGTCCGATGGGCGTTTCCACGTCGTGTGTTCTGCACGGATCGTGCAAATCTTGTTCCCGCTCTAGCACGTCAGCTGCAGAATACCAATTGAACTCCAGGTCGGGCCTATCACACAGTGTGTGTCATGTCAGACGAGATG